TTTTTCTAAGGGAAATATTCTTACTCTCCAGAGGTTATAAATGTTATTCTATATTTTCTTCATTAAGTTTTATAGTTCCCTCGACCTTAATTTGGGTTTTTAATTAACCTGGAATTGATTTTTGTGTGTGATATGATGTAGGAATCTAATTTTCTTGTATTTTTCATGAAGATCACCAATTGCCCCAGAATATTTTTTGCATAATACCATTTCCCCATATTGATCCAATTCCACTTGTAAGAGCAAGGCGGGGGATAATGGTAGTGGGACTGAGGAAAGACTTGGAGCTGAAGAGGGGCCATGCTACAAGAATGATCGTCTAGGGAGATGTAGTTTATGGTAGAAACGTGCCAAAGTAGGAGCATGTCAGGGAATAAATATCTCGACATCTGTCTTCTCCAGGCTTCCTTTTTTTTTTGCTGTTGTTTCCCATTGGTCAAACTCCAAAGAAGTTAAACCCAGAGGGCAAGGGTGCCCTGATGATGAGGTCTGTAGGGATAGGCCTCCCCAGGGCTCAGAGCGGGCAGTGAAGGGCAGAGAAAGCATTCCAGTGAGAGTGCAAATGGAAGGGGGCCCACACAGCTCTTCCCGGGGTGCACTGACCTCATTTAATGTGTCCTTCTCCCAGAGATGCACCACCCATATCATTATAGTTTTACCACCTACATATGTATTGAGTATGCTCTGGAATCAGTTTTGAAATATTGGGGAGCCAGCCCAAATCTAGTTGTGCAAAGAAAGAGCAATAGTTCCACAGCCAGAGAAGAAATGCTGAATAGGGTCTTCAAGTCACGCTGTGGCTTTAGATTTCTTGAGAATGTATAAAAGCCCCGTCTGCAGAAAGTGATCCTTGGCTACCAAGCTTCTATAGTTAAAAGTAGAAGATTAAAAAGGAGGCTGGAAGCACTGAGAGAATGAGGGAGGCTGGTCATCACTTGACTTTGCCATGGAGTGACCTCAGTGGACTGTTTATTGGGGAAATCTCTGATGTCAGTCTCATTAGATCTTTCCTGTTGGATTCCATAGAGAAAAATCTTATGATCTCCTGTCTCAACCAAGTTGCATATGACATGTGATCTCCCTGTTTGGAGCAGGACATCTGTATCTTCAGCTGTGTCTGGTGGCCCCCAGTGTAGAGGTCCCTTGCCAGGGTGGGAGAGGGTGGTTATATGCAGTGTGGAGTACCAGGGGGACTCTAAGGATTTACTGTTTCTCAAACAGCTTTCACCAAATCCTGCTTCATGTAGTACCCCCTTCCTTTCCAATCCAGAAGCATTTAGTACTGCCAGCGTCTTAGCCCTAGAGAGTTGCCACCATGTCAACCAGGTTTGTTCCCAGTTCTTCCCACTGCAGGTTTAGGATGTGCCTGTCACAGGTCTGCAGAGTCACTTATGATTCCATCACATGCATTCCAGCTTCCATCTCTTATTGTTGTTGTCTCCTCTGTCCTCTCTGTTGTGCTTGTGCTCTTTGTCTTAAAAAAAAAAAAAAAAAAAAAAAAAGGTCTGGTGCCACGGCTCACACCTGTAATCCCAGCACTTTGGGAGGCCAAGGTGGGTGGATCACCTGAGGTCAGGAGTTTGAAACCAGCCTGACCAACATACCAACATGATGAAACCCCATCTCTACTATCTATCTATCTATCTATCTATCTATCTATCTATCTATCTATCTATCTATCTATCTATCTAAATAAATAAATAAATTAGCCAGGCGTAATGGCACAGGCCTGTAATCCCAGCTACTCAAGAGACTGAGGCAGAGAATTGCTTAAACCCGGGAGGCAGAGGTTGCAGTGAGCCGAGATCGCACCACTGCACTCCAGCTTAGGCAACAAAAGTGAAACTCCATCCATCTCAGACAAACAAGCAAGCAAACAAACAAACAAACAAATAAAAACAGATAAGGTCTCACTATATTGCCCAGGCTGGTGGTCTTGAACTACTGGGTTCAAGGTGTCATTCTGCCTCACCCTGCAGAGTAACGGGGATTATAAGTGCAAGTCACCACACCTGGGCTTTTTGTCCTTTTAAGAAATCCTTTCGGCTGAGGCAGGAGGATGGTTTGAGCCTGGAAGGTAGACTGCAGTAAGCCATGATCATGCCTCTGCACTCCAGCCTGGGCCAAAGAGCAAGACCCTGTCTGGAAAAAAAAATCCTTTTACTACAGTTTTATATAGTGAAGTTTCTGGAGGGAGAGAAACTAGATGTGTGTGTTTAAACATCCTAATGCAGAGTCCTTTCTTCCATTTTCTCTAAATTTATTAGCTTTGAGAAATGATTTATTAACTTATTTTCAATCTTTCTTGCTTTTTAAATAGGTGCAATCAGTTATCAATTTCCCACTAAACAATCATTCCACAAATTTTGGTATTTAGTATTTCGAGTATTGGCAAGTTCCAAATATCTAACTATTTCCACCATGATCCTACTTTAAGTTCATGAATTACTCAAAAGTGAATTTTTAAGTTTCCAAACATATTGCAAAACAACCTTTTTATTATTGATTTCTGATCAACACATGGTTAGGGAACGTGGTCTGTATGGCATGCATTCTTTGAAGTGTATTGAGATATCTTCCATCTCCTAAGGACCTGCATCCATTTTTAATGTATGTTCTATGTGTGTCTGAAAAGGAGGTAGAGTCTGCACTTGTTGGTGAAAGATTCTATATTTTCTATCAGATGGGACTTGATTTTATTGTTCTAACCTTCTGCCATTACTAATTTTTTTACTGGCACAGTTAGTTTCTTCTCTGTGATTATTTTTGTTGTTTTTTTTGTATATTTGAGACTTTGTTGTTACATATATACATATTTATGACTGGTAGATTTTCTTTTTTCCTTCAACTTTTAAGTTCCGGGGATACATGTGCAGGATGTGCAGGTTGGTTACACAGGTAAATGTGTGCCATGTTGGTTTGCTGCACAGATCATCCCATCACCTAGGTATTAAGCCCAGCATCCGTTAGCTATTCTTCCTGTTGCTCTCTCTCCTCCCATCACCCCCCAAACGACAGGCACCAGTGTGTGTTGTTCCCCTCCCATGTGTCCATGTGTTCTCATTGTTCAGCTCCCACTTACAAGTGAGAACACGCAGCATTTGGTTTTCTGTTCCTGCATTAGTTTGCTGAGGATAATGGCTTTCAGCTCCATCCGTGTCCCTGCAAAGGACATGGTCTCATTCCTTTTTATGGCTGAATAGTTTTCCATGGGTATATGTACCACATTTTCTTTATCCTATGACTGGTACATTTTTTCTATTAAGTTTTTTATAATGTCATTCTTTGTCCCTGTTGATGCTTTTCTCTTACTTTTAATTTTGTCTGATTTAAATGTTACTCCCAGAACTCTGTTGCTTTCTACTAGGTTTCTCATAGAATATACTTTCCATTCATTTATTTCGAATCTCAATCTCTCTCTGCATTTGTATGTGTGTTTTACATGTCTCTTGTAAGCAGCATAGAGCTGCATTTTAACAAAATTTAAATTGTATTTATTTTTGAAATATGTGATCTCTCATATATTATCAAATTCTAAGTATACTAAAGAGTAAACAGTAAATGATTTCCCCCTCATCTCTTTTTCCCATCTTCCCAGTCTTTCTCTCCAGAGGTAGCCAGTATTAATAGTTTCTTGCTGCAAATAATCATTGTGAATATAAGTAAATATACTCTGTATATTCATTCCTTTTATGGTGGCAGTGTAGGCACTGCTAAGTATCTTGTTTTTTCATTTCTTAGCAATTTAACTGTGAATAAAGAGCTTCCTCATTCTTTTCAATGACTACATATTAGTTTATGAATGTTTCCTTATCTATTAAACCTATCTCCCATCAGAGGACTTTTAGGTGGTTTCCAGTGTTTTACTTTTACAAACAATGCTGTAACGAATAATCTTATACAAACATTATTTAAACATGTATATCTATAGGAGAAATTTCTACAAATGGAATTGCCGGGACAACTGGCTTCTGCTTTTGTAATTCTAATAGATATATAGAGATTGCCTAATTTTCCGGCATCAAGGCTTGCCAGTTTACACTCCCACCAGCAAAGGCTGTCCTAATTCATACTCCTACTTGCTGGTTTTCCCACGTCCTCACCATAGCAGCCAGGGGCCAGTCAAGAAATGGAGACATCTCTGGGGGTTTTGAACAAAGGGGGACATAAAACGGGAAATGAGTACCCAGGTGATGGGAGAGCTGGAAAGGTTAACACGGGATAGTGAGGCAGCCCAGGGGAAAGGCAACCCCCAGAGCTAGAGAACCACTTGGCAGTGTCATAGGGTCCAGGAGTCAGGGCCATTGATGAAGCCAGGACCCTAGCAGGCTGCCTGTCAGGAACTGGCGATGGAGTGAGGGGCTGTCAGGAGGGAGCGGAGGAGAAGTAGCTGCTGATGGAGATGCCTCCTGAAGCAAAGTGGAGGGGAGGAGTGCCCTGGCCTCTACACTCTTGTTTTCTACCAATGTCTCCCATTCCTGCAAACCACCTGAATTCAGCTTGGGAAATAAATGCATTTTCCCATGATGCAGACCAGAGTGGAGAAGGATGGAAAATGGATCCAGGAACAGCAACAACAACAAATCAAAAACAAAAAGTATGGCACCGGCTATTCTTTTTTTTTTTTTTTCTTCCAGACAGAATTGTCCAGGCTGGAGTGCAATGGCATGATCTCGCTTACTGCAACCTCCGCCTCCCATGTTCAAGAGATTCTTCTGCCTCAACCTCTCAAGTAGCAGGGATTACAGGCACCCATCACCACACCTAGCTAATTTTTGTATTTTTAGTAAAGATGGGGTTTCACCATGTTGGCCAGGCTGGTCTCGAACTCCTGACCTCAGGTGATCCGCCCACCTTGACCTCTCAAAGTGCTGGGATTACAGGCATGAGCCACCTCCCTTGGCCTGGCACCATCTAATCTTGTTGCTCTCAGCTTCATACTTAACTGCCAGACAACAACGACTTGGCGCTTCTACCTAACAGAATGTAACTGTCGTTTGTACCAACTCTGACACTTTAGCCCAGACCCCAAAAGGAGATGAGTAACGTCCCGCTCTCACTATGTGCACCTTGATAGTCCAGGGTCTCAGGCATGGACGTCGTTCCTCCAGTTGTAAATGTAATTATTGTGAACATCTCTCATGCAAAACTGTCAGGGAATGAGAAAGAAAAAGAAAAAAATGGGTTAATACATGCCTACAAAAGTAAGTATAGCTGTTCAGTCCTCTTTGCCACCGGCCGTGAGATTGAAGTTGACATTTATCGCAGTCTTCTTCCACCGCTCATTGCATAATCCCCTTGACCTCTGCCAGCACTTGGCTGTTTGAAAATCCTTACCTGGCGGAGTGATTCAAGTCTTTGTTCCCAAAGGATCTGGTTTCTTAATAGTCCTGTCTTTTTATTTGATTTCCCCTTCAGGTCTGCAGTGCCTTCCATTGTCTTTTACTATCGATCATGAAATACTAAGAGGCACTGCTGAGAATCTCTTCAGTTTCAGATGTAGACTTCCCTGCCCCATAATATATCAGAAAGCCGATTTTCTCTGAGAAATTGAGATTATTCTCCTCAGCCAATACGACGTTCCTTGTGCTATCTTTCTCTGCCCATTGGTTTGGTGGCATGAGCATCCCAGAGCAGCCCGATGGTGGTCTCAGCTTCCAATTCTGTGAAGCCATTGTATCTCTGGTGGGTGCATTTTTCTCTTAGAAATCAATACTTTTTTTATTTTTATTTTTATTTTTTGAGATGGAGTCTCCCTCTGTCGCCCAGGCTGGAGTACAGTGGCGTGATCTCGGTTCACTGCAAGCTCCGCCTCCCAGGTTCACACCATTCTCCTGCCTCAGCCTCCCGAGTAACTGGGACTACAGGCGCCCGCCACCACGCCCGGCCAACTTTTTTGTATTTTTAGTGGAGACGGGGTTTCACCGTGTTAGCCAGGATGGCCTCGATCTCCTGAGCTCGTGATCTACCCGCCTTGCCCTCCCAAAGTGCTGGGATTACAGGCGTGAGCCACTGCGCCCGGCCTCTTTTTTTTTTTTCTTAAATATAAAAATCAATACTTCTAATTGGGCAGAACCGAAGGTTGCAAAGCTGGCAAGCAAAAATTCTGTGAATGGCCATTGGGTATATAGAGAGAAGCCACTCTTTCATCACTTTGTTCCTGTCCCCAGGTATTAAGAAACTATATGATATATTGATCTCTGGTTCAAGGTATGTGCTACCTCCTGTTAGGAGAGCTTACCCACCTGATGGTGTGTGGTCTTATGGCTGGAGAATGATTGCGCTTTCAGCAGGGCCATTCTCCCAGAGGCTTCTTGGTGATAGGGTACATGATAAAAGCAGCAGGGTGGAAAAGAGCTGGGAAGGGGCTTGACAGCAAAATAGGTAAATGCCTGGCAAGCTCACCAATACGGCATGTCATCCAATCCTTTGGTCTTAGCTAATCTGGTGGATGAAACATGTCACCTCAACCTGTTTTCATTTCTTTTGAATGCCATTTTATGTACTTACGAGCCATTTGGATTACCTTTTTTGTAAACTATTTTTGTTCGTTTGTTTGTTTGTTTGCCTGTTATTCTTTGGAATGTTGGTACTTCTTTGTGTTTTAGTAAAATGAGCCTCCATCTATCCTGTGTCAGATAATAAGACTATTTTTCTAAGTAATTCTTTACTTCATAAGGGATACAAAAGTGTTTATCAAGAGAAAATATGTGCATAGTTTTATTGAAGGCCTTGTATTGTATTGTGTGGTTTGTAACTTTTCGTGGTTAGATAATGTGTAGGAGAATAAGTTGTAAATGTAGTTAGGCTCTTGATGATGGGAGGCCTCATATTATAGGCCAAGAACTTTGGGTTTTACCCCAAAAGCAATTGTAAACCACTTTAAGAAAAGTGTAACATAATCAGATTTGCTTTTAATACTATACTAGTGATTGTCTGGGGTAGTGCAAATATATTTTTTTACCCCAGATTTGAAATGTCACTTTGTTCTATACTAAATACATTTAGGTCTATTTCTGGAATTTTAGGCCTGTTACCTTGATCTGTCTGCTTAATAATGTTTTTTGTTTTTTGTGTTTTTTTGAGATGGAGTCTCACTCTTGTCATCCAGGCTGGAGTGCAATGGCGTGATCTCAGCTCACCGCAACCTCTGCCTCCTGAGTTCAAGCAATTCTCCTGCCTCAGCCTCCTGAGTAGATGAGATTACAGGCACCTGCCACCACGCCGAGCTAATTTTTGTATTTTTACTAGAGATAGGGTTTCACCATGTTGGCCAGGCTGGTCTCAAACTCCTGACCTCAGGTGATCCACCCACCTCAGCCTCTCAAAGTGCTGGGACTACAGGTATGAGACACTGTGCCTGGCCTAATAATGTTTTAATTTGACATTATTTTGTTTACTGTGGCTTTACGTTTTAGCATTTAGTAGAAATTATTTTTCTCCATTGTTGTCCATTTTCAAAATGGATTCCTGGATAAACTAGCTTTATAATTTTCCTGTATTAACAGTCTTAGTCCATTTGTGTTGCTCTAAAGGAATATCCTAGACTTGACAATTTATAAAGAAAAGAGGTTTATTTGGCTCATGGTTCTGCAGGCTGTACAAGAAGCGTGGCACCAGGATCTACGTCTGATGAGGGCCTCAGGTTGCTTCCACTCATGGCAGAGAGTGAAGAGTAGCTAGTGTACAGAGATCACATGGTGAGAGAGGAAGCAAGAGGATGGAAGGAAGAGTTGCCAGGCTCTGTTCAACCACCATGTTTAGTTTTCATGGAAACTAAGGGTGAGAACTCACTTGCTTCCTCCAGCGAGAATGGAATCAAGCCATTCTTGAAGGATCTACCCCTACGATCCAAACATCTCCCCCCAGACCCCACCTGCAACATTGGGAATTAAATTTCAACTTGTAGGGCCCAAAGAAAGCACTTTCAAACCATTGCATTCACTTCACAGTTCTCTTGTCCAGATGTGCTTTCCTCCTAAGAAAAAGTTCTGCTGTTCTTTGTATTGGGATCCCAATCCCAAGCACTACTGTCTCCAGGGACCAGCATGATGTATCCTTGGCTGCTCTTCCACCTCCTCTCCTGACACTGCCCTGAATTTTCTCTGCCTTCCCCACTCTGGCTCGCTTGCTATTGCTCAAACATGCCATGACCTCCCATTTGCTACTGTCTTCATCTCTGTTCAGCAAGTTTGAGTGGCCTCAACTTAGGACCAGGATCCCATCTATAGTCATTTGGGTGGGATTTTTCTTTACACCCTGGGATTTGGGGATGTGCCAGGTCCAATGTTCTGGTCAGCAGGTGGTGGACACAGGTCCTGGAACTGAGGCTGAACCTTTCCCTCTGTTTTCCCTAAAACAGTCCCAGGCATTGGGCAGGTGCCATTTTTTTCAGCTGCCTCTTGAGTGTCATCAGGTCTGATTCCCTCTCAGCCTCAAGCAGGAACATGTTGAGTCCCTGTTATTCAAGCAGCTGACCTCTCAGCAACCTGATTCTGGCCCCAGAACCCTGCAGGCTAAAGGCTTCAATTCCACACACTGCTTGCTTTTGGATCTGCTTCTGGCTTTTGGAGATGTTTAGCTTGTTTCTGAGACCACCTGTGTCTTAGTGGGCTCCTCTTCCGATATTCTCTCTCTCATTTTTATGTGTTCAGAACAGAGCGGGTGTGAGGAAGCATGAACTTCTGTGCACCATCATGACTAGACCACTCACTTAGCTTGGCAGACGCTCTGAGGTCTGTCTCTCACAAGCTCCCACTAAAATAATACATTAACCAGCCTGTACTTTTGTGGTGGTTTGGGGGTGCAAATGTTGGACCTTGCAATAATTCCTTCTAACAGCAGCCCAGTTGGAGGAAATGCAGGTGGGTGTGACTACAAATTTGTGGTCTCCAACCACAGCAGGGCCTCTGCAGTTCTGCACAGAAGCTTGGCTGGTTTCCTCTTGTCAGCCTCAGCACTTGATCTGGCCTCTCCATCACAGCAAATATGAATAATAGTGCTGACATTGTTCTTATCAGTACGAGTGAGGCCGTCAAGTTAAACACCAGCAAGTCCTCTCATTCTTCAACTGTGCTCATCCTTCCCTCCAGGAATTCGTTTTGTCTCCAGTAATTCTCTGCCTAGAGAACAACACAGTTTCTCTTTACCTTCACACAGCACTTCTAACAGATGTGTGGGTTTTGTTTTGTTTTGTTTTCCAGCCCAAGCAAGTCTCCAATTCTCTGAACACCAGCTAGGAGTCCTAAAATTTCATTAAATTCTGACACTGTCTACCTGGAGTTAGCATCACATCCTACGAGTTCAGGGCTCAGTCTCACAAGCCTGCTCCCCCAACTTCAGATGCCAATCAGAAGTCCAGGCCTGTACTCTCAGGGACTCAGGACGCCAAGTGACTTGCTATCAGTAGAACTCAGGCACTCAGAACTTAGGTCTGTTTACTCAGGAAGAGCACATGGAAAAGATGTACAGAGTAAGGCATTAGGGATGCAGGACACGGAGCTTCCATGCTGTCTCTGGGCACACCACTCTCCCACCGCCTGCACAGTCTCAGCCATTTGGAAGTGTACCACGTCTTGTCCTTCAGTAGTTTTTATAGAGCTTAACCCTCAGGACCTGACACCTCTTCCCAGAGGTCAGTGGGTGGGGCTGAAAGTTTTGTTATGTTTTGTTTTTTAGACAGAGTCTTGCTCTGTCTGCCGGAGTGCAATGGTGTGATCTAGGCTTACTGCAACCTCTGCCTCCCAAGTTCAAGCGATTCTCCTGCCTCAGCCTCCCAAGTAGCTGAGATTACAGGTATGCACTACTATGCCCAGCTAATATTTGTATTTTTAGTAGAGTTGGGGTTTCACCACGTTGGCCAGGCTGGTCTTGAACTCCTGACTTCAGGTAATCCACCTGCCTTGGCCTCCCAAAGTGCTGGGATTACAGGTGTGAACCATTGCGCCTGGTCTGAAAGTTTTAGCCTTCTAATCATTTGGTCTTTCTGAGCACTATCCCCATCCTGAAGCTATCAGGGTCCCCTATGTAAGTCACCTCATTGGCATAAACTCAGGAATAATCAGAAGGGACTTATTATTAATAACAAAAGACACTCCTATCACTCAGGAAATCCCAAGGGTTTTAGGGTTCTGTACCAGGCACTGGGGAGAAAACCTGAATATATTATTATACCACACTGCCTCTCCTTTTTGTCTAAGCCTTG